AACGCACAAACAAGTGAAATATTTAATGTCAAAATTAACAGTTTAATGCATCAACAGGCAAGACGTAGTTTACAACAGCTGTAGATTAGATGATACACATCTGTTTTAAACTTGAACTAAGCTTTAGCAAATGAATGGACAGAGGGGAGCTATCAGTTGTTAATGTATAGAATTCAGTCCTAGGGGAGAAGCTGAATTTATCGATCAAAGATACCATAGCTGGGGCTTCCATCAAATATAAAATCAATTTTCTTCTCGTATTTGTTGCCATACACACTGACGTCAGATTGGAGCGTCATAGTAACGCAAGTGCTATGATTTTCTGTTACATTTTTTTGTTGGATTAATAATATATTGTGGACTTGATTCAACGGAAATTAAATTAGAGAATACAGTTAGTTATTTGACTGGTAGATAAAGTGATAATATAATTTTCTCTTAGCTTGTTCATACATTAAAAACACATTCAGTGTTTCTGATTGTTGAGGAGACTAGATCTGTCTTACGTATGTCTTTAAATTAAATCAAGTTTAAGCCATAAACAATCGCTGTTCATGCAAATGATGATATAAATAGCACCTAGGCCTTTACTATGCCTGTCGTATCCAAACCGGCCTGATGAGCCCTTGTATTGAGGGATAGGCCTTGTCGGCACTTGATACGGCATATATAGTGTGGTTGAAATATTATTGCATATTATTCTTTGCTTTCATTCGTAAGTTCATAGAATACGTGTATGGAAATACGTGAAACAAAAGTTTTCTAAATGAATTTTTATAAAGCTTCGGTGTTGATCACCAGATTTTAAGGTGTGATGTCCACGACTTTGCTCTCATCGCAAAGACAGACTTACATTACAAGTTTTTTGTTGTTTTTTTTTTTTTGCTGTTGATAACAAAAACTTGTTAAACTTCTAATTTTAATGAATATATCTTAAATGTAGTTTCTTCGAAATCAACAAAAAAAAGTCATTCCTAAAAAATTACGTAATTTCAACGTTAAATGACTTTTTGTTTTTTAGTCGACACTGGTCACATAAGAAAATTCCAAATTCTTAATGCTGTATACAATTCTTTCTTGTTTCTATTAATAATTATAGTTTGCTATTTACCTATTACCCAACATGCATTGCATACCAGGTATGAGTAGGTGTTGAAATAATTGTAGCATAACATGTTCTAGCTTGGCATGTAGATTGACTTAAGGCCTATGTTTACATTATACTAATGTAATCCCAAGGAGCATCAACTAATTGCACCAAAGTCGCTTCTCTTAAAAAGATAGTGTGCTTACTAAGTAATTGGACGCTATTATCTTAGTTTATTGGCAGAAAATTGAATCTGCATAAGTAATTTGAACTACGAATGACCAACAAGTAATTACACATTGCTAAATTGTAGGAATTTTCTCCCTTAACAATTTAAACAAAAAATTTTAAACTAAATGTTTCTTAACTTTTCAATTTCATTTACAGGCGATGTTTTTAAATGTAATTATCACATTCAAAGTATGTTTCCCTTTCTGTCAGTAAAGAATTCTGTATGATCCCACATTGATATAACTTAACCAATATATCACAATTTATGTAAATTGCTTTAAATTATTAGTAATGACGTCTCAAAACATGTTAATGTTGCTATGAAACTGTCTATGAGAATGAGACTATGATTTGGTTTTTGTGAAAATTTAAACTCAATATTTATATGCTGCATAATTTATCCAGTTTACTAATAAAGATTTCACAGGCTGACGTTTGCTAGTATAATGGATGTTTTAATTAATGTATACTCAGTAGCATAGTTACCTTTACAGAGGCCAAATTCGTGGGAATTTAAATCATAAAAATTGTGGAGGTAATCAGGCATTGTTGTTTGTTTCAAACAACGCTATAGTACTTGTTAACCAGTTTTGTCAAAGTTTGTAATTAGCTTGGGTTCAACCTTGTGCAAACACTGGTTTCTCTCAGGGTAAGAAAAATCTACATTACCCGTTGTGACCATCAACAAAGACGTTTAATTTCAGGTTGTTACTTAGCTTGTTAGCGCCATGCTGTGGTGACTGAAAAGAAGCAGGAACTCTGTGTGGTCCTGTGACGTAAAAGATAGCTACGCCACCACGCGGTAGGTAACACCGAACACTGAGAACCTAGTAAATAACGTTAGGCCTAGTAATTAAACAAATCGGACGTCGTTTATGGTGACGGTAATTGCCCATAATTAGGTTGGCTTCACAAAAAGAAATCATGAGCTGAACAGAAGGCCAGAAACAGCATCCTGATGAATGGCGGAAACACATCATGAAGTCGATGTTCCCGAGGCCACACAGATCGGCAGCGCTGTAGGTGGCGTGCTTGTTGTTTATGATGACCTTTGTCCACGGGTAGTGAATGAGGTCGTATGATAGCCATGGGGTCCGTTTCTAGGTTTATGTACTGTACAGCAGGAGCCCAGGTAGGCGTTGTTCACAGATCATACAACTGCTTTTGTTGAGCTGACCAGGGTTCCCTGTCCTCTTGATGAAGTTATTCACGAACTCAACTGAGTGCTTATTAGATGACTCTCACGTTTCGAAGTCGTATTCCAGCACCTCATTATATGTTAAAATCTGGTGTAAAACTCAGCATTTTCTCTCCTTCGTGGATATGTCATGATCGTTATCACTATTTACCTAGTGCTGTTCTTCTATCTTATATACCAAAGTAAGCAATAAAACAACACTTAAGTATCTTGTCGGCGCAAGTTAAAAAACAGATTAAACTTTTAAAACACATCATCGTAATGTATGACGCATGCTCTGTTTTATTCAATGCAGCCTTATATTTTACATTTTAAAGATGTGTGTGTTTGTCTGCAAATAAGAAATTTTAACTGTAAGTTTTGTAACAGAGTAAATAGAACTCTTATTTATTATATCTAAGATGAAGAATAGTATTGTTTGTTTGTTTTGTAATTAAGCACAAAGCTACACAATGGGCTATCTGTGCTCTGTCCACCACGGGTATCGAAATCCGGATTCTAGCGTTGTAAGTCCGCAGACATACCGCTGTGCTACTGGGGGGCGAAGAATAGTAAGATTTCTGAATATATTTTTACTACTTTTTTTCCATTTTTAAGTTAACTCCAACGAATATTCTCAAGACAGTTGTATATATATATATTGCGGTTTAATTTTACTGGTTACGTAAATTCTTTTTTGCTCCGGTTAAAAAGTATGATTACTGAAAAGGCATTTATAAGCGCAAATGAGTAAATAAAAATGGAACCAACCGAAAACGCCTAAGCATACTTTGAAAGCCACCCTAAAGATGTAATTTTTACTTAAAATCACTATTTCGAAAAGGAATTCCTATAGGTGGCATTTAAATATGTGAGGAAGGATTTTGATTGTAAATAAATAACTCAACAGACATAAAACTCCGTATCACCTAGTATTTAAAATCAACTAGAATAGATGAGAAAACATGCTTACGAAGGTGATAAAACGCAAAGGATAATATATGTAATGTCGTATAGATGTAGCTTGTTAATATTAAATGCAAAATTATTTCAGTAGAAATTGATCAAACTTGCTTAGAATGTTCGCGCAAAGTAACACAAGGGCTGTCTGCGTATACCCAGTCCATAGTTTTGGGCAGCTGATGGACTTCAAGGAAGGCAGATAGCCAAAGCATCCACCGCTGACTCTTAGACTACGCTGCCTAACTAAACAGTGGGTTTGATCATCAGTCTTATGGTGCACCCTGAGCCCCAAAGTGCGGTGTGTGTTTTTGCAGCAATGGAACGTGAACCATAAATCACCATAATATATCAATAAACGTTGTGCATTGTTCTACGGTTATTCAAGATAACACTAAGAAGCAAGTTATACTTATCTTACATTCCAGGTTTATTCCACTCCATAAAAGAGTTTATGGAATAGACTGGTTATAAAGAAAAATCTAAGGCTTACGTTAAGTTTGTTTAACCTTTGGGCAGAAATTTTGGGCTATTTTATCAATGAAGTTCATGAAAATTAAAAACAGGACAGGATGTTTCTTTAATGGTATCGATAACAATAACAACAAAATTCGAGAGGAAGATAAAAATTTCAGAAAAGTAAAGTTTATAAAAGAAACCCATTACAAGAACTAAATCAACTTCGTGCCACCTTTTTATAACTATTTGACAATTGAAGCTTTTTTTAACATTGTATGTGACCATTATAATTTATCATTTATTGATCTTTACCTGTTGTAAGAAGGATGTTAAAGAATTGAGTTTTAAAACCCTACTGAAGTTGACAATATCAGTTTAACTTGTCCAAACACTATGTATGTTTTCATTATTCCTAATATTTTAATAAATGTTGTTTTCAATCATTTTAGTGTGTTTCACATAAACAGCATATAATAAATGTTGTTTTCAATCATTTTAGTGTGTTTTCACATAAACTAACATATGATAAATGTTGTTTTCAATCATTTTAGTGTGTTTTCACATAAACTAACATATAATAAATGTTGTTTTCAATCATTTTAGTATGTTTTCCACATAAACTAACATACAATAAATGTTGTTTTCAATCATTTTTAGTATGTTTTTCACATAAACTAACATATGATAAATGTTGTTTTTAGTCATTTTTAGTATGCTTTTCACATAAACTAGCATATAATAGATATTGTTCTTAGTCATTTTAGTATGTTTTTACATAAAGTAACATATAACAAATGTTGTTTTCAGTCATTTTAGTGTTTTTCACATAAACGAGCATATAATAGATATTGTTCTTAGTCATTTTTAGTATGTTTTTCACATAAAGTAACATATAATAAATGTTGTTTTCAGTCATTTTTAGTGTGTTTTTCACATAAACTAAAATAATATCTCCACCCTAAAGGAGTTTCATTTAATTTTTCTCAGCGTGTGTGTGTGTGTCAACCACAAAGAAGAAACACCAGATTTGGATATTTCTAACAATGCTTATGTTGACTGTAATTTTTTTTACATGAATTATTTCAGGCAATAACGCGCCACATGCAGAGGAAATGTCGGTGTCACGGAGTTTCGGGATCATGCGAGTTAAAGACTTGTTGGAGAAAGTTGCCATCTTTCGTTGAGGTTGGTAACCGCCTGAAAAAGAAATACGAGGACTCTGTTCTGATATCCATGAAAGCAAGAAAAAGACTTCGACGACGAGGAAAGAGAAAGGTGCCCGTGAGAAAAGATGACTTGGTGTACATCAATAAGTCTCCAAACTACTGTGTAGAAGATCCAGCCAACGGTATTTTTGGTACGAGCGGCAGGCTTTGCAACAAAACTTCTGCTGGCCCAGATGGCTGCAACTTGCTTTGCTGTGGACGAGGATACAACACCCAGGTAATCACGCACGTGGAACGATGTCACTGCAAGTTCCATTGGTGTTGCTACGTCACATGTCGCAACTGCACAACTGAAATGGAAATTTATACTTGTAAATGAAAACTGAACTGAATGTCTGCAATTGTGACAAGCAGTTTATTAAAGGTTTCTTTAAATCAGCAGACCACTGCACCTCAGGCTGGAATACGGGTTAGTTAGCACATCCAATCGTTCGGACTAATACAAAGAAACTAGCAATAAACCAAACCACCTTCCAATTTTCGTTATGCTTCATGGGGTAGACTCCTGTAACATTTTTTGCGGCATATCCCCAGGAAAAAGAGCAGTAAGAATTGAACTTAATATATTGAAGCTTAAGACACAGCTGCGGTATATTTAGTATACACAGTGTTAATGCTTTCAAAATCAAATCCGAAAAAGATTTGTTTTACCCTGTAATATTACATTCTGCTTTAAAAACAACTGTGATACATACGGAAGAATATAAGGGCCAGACTTTTCGAATGCATGACAAAACCGGGCTTACAAAAGCATTTCGATCATTCATATTATTGTTTTATTTCTTTTCATCATAACCCTATGAACACTGAAGAAAGGTTTTCTCTACACAAACAAGATGTGAGCGAAAATTTCCAAAGAAACATAAGTATATGTTTGGTGATCATGTATAATATGTAAAGACTTGGGGAGAATGAACTAAATGTTTTGTTATTATAGGTCAGTTTTCTGTACAAAACTTTAAATTTAGCCACTGATTTAACTTGGATAAGCTATAGTGTTTTTTTATTGTTTTTTTTTAGAAACCAAAGAAAATGTTATGTGAAAGCCTTGCAGCATTTTTTTTTCTTCCAGAAACATAAAAAAAAGATATTCAAACATTACTATTGGTATATCTTTTTCTAAATAATCTTAAGATTCTGGCAAATCAATTTTCACTCAAAAGATCCAAATTAGGTCGTTATTCATTCTGACAGCGTATGACTATGAATGATACAAAGTATAACTTAACAACTAGCTGATATCTAAATAGACCTAAATGAACGGTTAGCTGACGAATAACTAGAAACAACTAAATTATTATAATATTATGACACTAAGAACAGTACATATTTTGCTATAACTCTGATTGGAAAAGCTTTTGTTTTTTTATGGGAGGTTTTCAGTATTTCAAACTTGAGAGAGAGTGAAATTTATGGTTCATAACTACTGTTTACTGGTGTGAAATAAAGAGCAACTCTGTAAGGCAGACTGTGTAAGTAAAGTGAGTGATATAAAAGCTGGACATATTACAATAAATCTTATATCTTTAAGACATCTGTCTCTTTCTAAATCGGTAAATTTACTTATCGTTTTTCTAGGGTATTTATTTAACATTATTTTATACAATTGCAGCCTACAGGAGGCGTTTTTTCAAGGAAATAAAACTAAATTATTAGAACTGCAAATGATTAAAACGGTTTATGAAAGAGAATAGCGGAGATATAAGATAGTGAAATGTAATAATCAATGAAGTCATAATTTATATTATATTACAAGTTCTAGCTATTATAGTAAGTACCTGTTCTAAAAACAAGTCTTACTTTCTGTAAAAGCTGTAACTATTACTATAATATAATTAATCAGTAAGTACACTCAAAACGAAACTATGAAGTCATAATTTATCCTGACTTTGAGTTTCATAATTTTATTTGCAATGTGATAAGAATATGCACTAGATTATTAGTTTAGAAAGGTTCAAATGGCCGAATTTAGGGACTGTATTAATATTTCCTTTCAATTTAGGTTTTCTATAGCTTTTAATTTCTTTGGAGAACTTGATAATGTTTTCAGTGTAACGAAAAATATGAGAATAACTAAATACTGCGTGTCAATATATTTTTTATACTTAATCAATGATCTTCGTGTCGTGAAGAAAATACAGATTTTCGAAAGTTTAAAATATAACCATCAGAGAGAACAAAGCTTTTTTTGGGGGGGGTGGGGGTGGGGGGATGACAAATGTGACGTTTATATCCCGTGATTATCACGTTGTTGAGCCACAAAAAATAATATTAAGCGAGTTATTATGTGTTTAAAGATAGAGAAAAGTAACTATTACCTGGCTTCCTTCAAGTCTACAATTCAGAATTTTTCTTGTAAATCTATGTTAAATATACATATGCCACGAACGTCGTGCTTTCGCGGTATCACGTTTAGGGAAATCCCTGTAGAAGAATAAGATGGCATAGCCTGAAAATCGTTTTTCAAGAAGTCTACTATTCTGTTCAGGACAAGACTGATTTCACTAGGAAATCTGTGGAAAGAAAGAACTGAGATAAAATACATAGTAATTCAGGATTATAGTATATGTCATAGAATGAAGAATCTTCGCTATAGCTATACGCGTAGTTGAATTGTTAGAGTATAAATATACAGGAGTGACTGACAGAGTAAATTTTATGTATAGTCTATAAGATGTTTTACATGTGGTCCATGTTTTTTGCATTTATGTCTAATTTAAACACTTCAATGTAGACTACTTAGATGTATACACTTTTCGTATTAACTTATTCTTTAGTTTGATTGTTTTTATTTTTTACTTTGTAGGTTTCGTGATCAGAAAGTAGAATATGTGTAATAAATGGTGTTTTCATAAATGTCCTCCGACGAGTCTTGTGTTTGTATTTTTCATTTTCTCATTTATTGCCGCAATGGTTTTTATTTATTTCAGAATTTAACTCAAAGCTACCGAAGCGTTATCTGCGCGGAGAGAAGGTAGCTAGTCAACGGCGCCCATCGCCAACTATTGGCTACTCTTGTTTGATCAAAAAAGCGGGACTTGACCGATTCTCTCGTAGAACGTTCAAGGCCCCAAAGTATGAAACACGAAATCATTAAATTTCGGATTCACATTACGGATACGCTTTGTTTGTTTGTTGATAAACACAAAACTATCAGTGCTGTGCCGATCGTGGATATCGAATCTCGTGGTTCAGTGTAATAAGCCCTCGTGCTTGCCATTGAGCCACTGAGGGGGAGGGGGGGGGCAGGAACGCTAACACTAATCACATCCGGCCCCCGATAACAATGATTTCAAGAAATAAGAGATAGTGAAGCCAAAAGTAAACATTTTGAAAGTACTATTTTAAACAACGATCTCCTCTAAAAACTTGACTTACGTAACTTAATATCTTAACTTTTTTTGCAAGATTTGTAATCCTAATTCTTCATAAACAATAAGGAATTTTAGTACTTTTAATTTTCCTTTCCGCATTCTAAAATTTAAATTGCAGAAAGGGCTCAAATGAACGTTTAAAGTTAAAATGTGTAATTTTGAAATTTTTATTGAACTAATTACTTCCTTGAAATTTCACTAATATTTTGAGCTTACAAAAAAATTATCCTGTAATTTGTCAAAAGTGGTAAACTCGACTCTACTTTCACATGCACTGTTCCAGAAAAAACAAATAAATTGTTTTCATCTACTCAACCATGTAAAAAGGATCCTTCGTCAACGGTTTATATATACATTAAGAGACGACATTCGTTTATTTTATTTATCTCTTTTAGTTAAGAATGTCTAAAGAATACAGTACTTATGGATATGATTGACTTGATTGTATTGTCGTGTTAATTACAATACAATTATGGATGAACTTTTGGGTTTAGGAAAACGTGATTCTGTGTGTTCTTGTAAAGTTCAAACGGACGACATTGTTCCTCTTAACCTTTTGTATTCATATTGTTACGTATTAGAACTTCAAATATCCTGAAATTGAGTTGACTAATAAATTTATATTTAGTAGTTAAATTGTAGTTTGGATTTAGCAGTTAAGTTAAAGCCGATATATAGTCAGTTTATGATATTTGCCAACAAGATTGATGCTCACAGTTTTCTTTTTTTTAAAACACAAATACGTTTTAATATACAAACAACAATACAATTTACAATAACAGTTGTTACAAATAGTTATTACAAACAATGATATAGAAACAAATGTTTCACAAATTTAAAAGCAATATAAAGTATTCCTTTTAGTCTGGAACTTCTTCTTATCGAGGGTTCACGATGAGCGAGTTAATTACGAGTTGATGTAGGTACGATTCGCTTCACGGGAAGCTAGCTAGCTTTGTCCTTCGTTATTCACCAGCCACACATGCCGATTACAGGGCGAGTTTCTTTTACCGCTGAAGTTATATAATATCTTTGTAAAGGTACAAATGTCCGATATGAATCCACTGAAGTTAAATGATTTGTAATGTTCGAACTTTGTAAAGGTTCCTGGTCAAATATCTGAAGCTTTCCGATTGATAAGCGTTATAACAATCACAGTTATAGCTTCCAAAGTTTATATCACACTGACTATAGCAAACTAACAATAGATATTCTCATTGTTGGTGCGTCGAGTTGCTTATAGTTATAGGCGTGTAGAGGCTTTCTAGAAATTTCAGTTTTACGTAACAATAATGACGCTAACACAAGTGTTTACAACACATGCATTGTTGATTCTTACTCTCGGGAATCTTCTACAACTTTGGAGAATAGGCGGGAGTTTCGGAATACATATCTAACACTATAGGCTATGAATGTTTTAAATATAAACTTAATCTAAACAAACGTTGATATTAAAATAAATATATAATAATAGATTCGTTACAATATCAACAGTCCAACTTTTTACAAACTACCTTAAGGTTGATGTTCGTTATTATGAGCTAATATATGTCCCCTTGTTTAACATAACTGCATTAAAACTAAAACTTGACTTAATTATATCTAGAATAATTAATTCAAATATCTAAAATAAATGTCTGAAAATGTTTTTTAACAAAAGACCGATCGCTTTGGTGTAAAATGTTAAATATTATTAAGCTAATTATCAACAGATAAGTGAAATGAAAGTTCTCGTAAAATATGTGAGAGCTAAACTGTAAGATAATTTAATTTTTTTATGCAAATATGTTCGTTCTTAATTAAGCACAAAGCTACACAATGGGCTAATTGTGCTGTGCCCATCACGAGTATTGAAACCGAAACCGTATTTTAGCTTTATAAGTCCAAATATTTACCGCTGTGTCACTAGGGGGCATTAAAATACGTAAATCCTTAAACTAAGATTAATCTCTGTGCTGTACTCCCATCTTGTCTACGTAAGTTACAGAATCTAGTGTCTGGTTGGTACTGGTACGGGCTTCGTTACCTAATTTTGTAGAAGTAAACTATGTGTGTATATATATATATAAAGTTTAATAACTTTTTACATCAAAGTCCCCATTTCTGATTAAATATTTCGAAGTTAAGAACAACGTTGAAGTCTAAGTTGAAGAATAACTCTATAGTAACGTTTAGGTTAAACGAATATGATTTATTTTAAATTGGCAATGGAGAGTACATAACCTGTATCCTAAACTAAAAAGAAATAATTAATTTTGATTAAAGGAACACAATGATAAGTAAATTATGTGTTCTTCATTTCAGGAAAAACACCTTGAAAGATACTTGAAATCCCTTGGGTTAACTATTGGTAAATGTATAAATGTCAATGCTCCCCCCTTTTTACAACTTCAGTTTCAATGTAAGTTTTGAACGTTCCCTGATGAATTGCATTAGAAATCTGATGATTTACCTTTCGAAACTGTAATGGCTGACAGTGATCAGTTACATGCCTAGGTGCACAGTGACTAAACAACAGAGAAAGTGTTGATGAACCAAGTTCTGCAGATAGGCTTTTGAACGTATTCGTTGGACTTGAGGTGTTGCCAAAGTCGCAGCTCTAGTAACTTCTTCCCTAACTGAAATCTCATAAATTTTATTATTATTAATCACACGAAATATGTATATATATTTGCATGGACAACAAGATATGTATCATTAATTTTAAAATATGTTCTTGTTTCAAGAAACTTTTGTGATGTGTTTCGTACGTATGTGCCAATATATTACGGAAAAGTTAACTCGTTCTAGTTAGACTTTATGTAACATTTCAAGTGTTAAAACCAGTGCACGAGAAGGAAATACACATTTCAAAATAATAGATGACGTAAGGATTGCGGGAACCACAAACCTGATTTCATAATTGGGACATTTCTACGGAACATTTTACAGTATCATAGAAACGGATATAATTGTCTGGTTTAGCATAAAATAACATTATTTATTAACTTATTAATCATGTTCAATATAAAATGTGTGTTATAACATCTGAAGTTACAAGAGGGAGTAAAAAATAAAATATATTATTCATTATTTTCTAATTTATTTCGTTTTTACATAATGCATGATTGCGCAAATAACAGGCCTATAGCTAATTAAGGAAAACTGAACGAAAAAAAAAGGATTATACGTCGTTAGATGACAAATAAAAGTCTATTTTTAATAAACAACGACAATAGTTTTTATTTTTTAAGTCTTATAAACCTATTGGTATTAAAGTTTGGAATACTTGTACATATGACTTGTCTGATATGAAACCTAGTCTTATTCTTTCGATTTGTCCATGCCCACGGTTACTAATGAAAAATGGAATTCTCCGAAACTGGTATAACTCAGTGATAAGTGGTAAATCGAATGATAAATCGGGCTTCGAATTTATTATGTATCTTTTAAACAGGTTGACGGCTAAAAATTCACAAGAATAAATTAGTAGGACGAATGTTGCATATCCTTGAAATTCCTATATACATATAGCTGGGATCACTGTTGAGAGTAAAAGACATCTTAAACACCATACAAAAAAAATGTATGGAAGAAAAATCTTTAAATAAATCAGACACTGATAAGGCCTTGATTAACGAGACAGCTACTCAAAGTTGCCAATTAAATAGTCCAACAGGAAAGGTCCATTCTTTTTAATTTGTAAGCACTTATACGTTATTACCAAAGAGACAAGTAAAGGTTTGGAACCCAATGTCCTGTTCAATTTTTAAGTGGTTGGTACACAAGCTTGAAGCTCTTGAACTACAACTATATTCGAGTTTACTTGCTGCTGTCATGCATACAACTGTACATGAGTCAGCAGTGCTTATGCAGTGATTTTTTTTCTCCTTTGTGACCGATAAATAAAGAACCACTGAAATGTTTAATGAAAACCAGAATTTATTTTGTAATATATATATCTAGAAAGCGTTCCACTTATTGAGATCCATCTTTTTCATCGTTACTGTTCGCTAACTTTATTTTTAAATTTCCCCTTTGAAGGTCAAAAGCAACCAATGTAAATTATGTTGTTATGCGCAAGGCTTCAAATGGACAGTTTTGGAATTGACTGATGAGTCATGGATATGTTGATACCTTTTGACTTATTTTAAAATTATTCAAATATTATATCACTTGCACAATAGCTTCAATAACTAACTCATTCATTTTGCTGAAGTTCCATTTGTCTTGAGGAATTAAATTAAACATGAGGGAACCCTCAATAGCCGCAGCACTTGAAATTATTTTAAGCAGGATTAGACTAAATTAATCTATGAGAACCTTTGTTTTCTTTTTTATTAGCTATATTTTTGTGCGCCAACAATAGCAAGCGTGGGTCGCGCGTATACTCGAT